GGGCCGGGGTGGGAGGACCGTCTCGGCTTGGGTCTGGGCTTTTGGGTACTTTTTTCGGGTAAATTTCCAGGACGCCCAGGGCTGGACTCTGGTGTCAGCCCCTTGGATTGCGTTCCCGCGTGTGGGCGTCTAAAAGGAAACCAGAAGCGGGGAAGGGATACAGAAACCCACTTACTCGGGCGCGTTGGCCCGGGCGGGTGACCATCCGGACAGTTAGACTCTCCCTTCATTCCCCCGCCTCCGAAGGGACATACACGGAGAGGAGGCGCCCCGGAGCGAGTTTCAGGCACGAAGTGATTTCCTCGGTGGAGATGATGAGTTTGCTCTGATCTTCCAGCTCCCCCGCATCCTGCTCCTGGTGCGCGGGGGACGCAGGCCTGTAAATACACGCTCATGACTGTCATCTGACTTCACCTGCCGCCGCCGCACACCTTGCGCGGCGACCTGTGGGCAGTGAGTGGACCAGATTGATCTCGCGCCTCTACTGTGGGAGGCAGGTCTCTTGGGGGGATGGGTGTCCATCTCATTTCGAAAAGTAAGTTCATCCTGGTTTGTTTCTTAAATGCTTGCGCTCTCCTCCTGGCAGCGATCTGGAGTTACTTTGTTGTTTGGCTGTGGGCGAAAGCGTCGTGAAGTTAGATTGTGAACTATAACCTTGGGTAAATTAGAGGAAAATGGAAGCTGGTGTGTGTGGAATCGTGTGTTAGGCTCTTGCAAGTTTGTACGGTGATAGCAACTTTGACATTTTATTTTCTGCACGTTTGCCCTTGAAGTAGGCTCCTTTTGGTTTTAAAAAAAAGTGTCCTGAAACAGGAACTATTTTTAAAATTACTTTTAATCGGATGTCATTGTGATGACCAATAATAGTGTTGTACTTACAAGCTCAGTATTGATTTTTCCCGCACTTAAGCACTCTACACCCCAGAGAATTTGTGGAGCGTTGCCCACAAGTAATTGGAAGATAAACTTATGGCTTTTTTTTTTTAAAGGAAGCTAACTTTTTTAGGAAAAAAAGATAAATACCCTTAAACTTTTAGTGATGACTTTCATGCACTTACAAGAGAAATATTGAGGGAAAATTCTTAGGACATTCCACTGTTTAACCATGTTTTAAAAAGAAAGAAAAAGTAAAATGGGTCATGGAACTAGGCTAGAGTTTTAAAGTGGAAATATCTCCTTGGCTCCTTTTTAAACATACAGGGTGGGGCTGAAGTAGGTTTACAGTTGTTTGTATGGAAATTAAGACAAGAATTAATAAATAATAATACAAAAATGAATTCTGTGTTTCCCGTACTCACAACTGTAAGCCTACTTTTGCCCACCCCTGTATATTAAACACACGTAATATATCTTAACACCAGGAGTGTTTTATATGGAGTCGAGTTGTCATTAGTACTCAAAGATTTATTTAAAATACCTGGAGGGTCAATCAAAGGATTTAAGTTTACGTATGAGGGCCTATATGTGTTTGTGTTTTTTCCTTCTGTAAGCCTGTTAAATTTTATGTGTTGTCCATGAAAGGCGAAGCTGGTGGTACATTTAAAAATATATATATATTTCTGTTGATTTCAGAGAGGAAGGGGGGGAGAGAGAGAGAGAGAGAGAGAAACAAACATCAGTGATCAGAGAGAATCATTGATCAGCTGCCTCCTGAATGCCCCCTACTGGGGATTGAGTCCACAACCTGGGCATGTGCCCTAACCTGGAATCAAACAGTGGCCTCCTGGTTTACATAGGTCAGTGCTCAAGCACCGAACCACACCAGCTGAGCTGATGGTACATTTGAAAATAAATTTGTAATCATCTATCACTAAAACTTCCTAATAGTGTGAGGCTCACAGATATTCAATTAATAATTTTCAATTTAACTATTAGTTATTGTGGTTAAATATAGCATTCATTTTATAATGAATTGCTATTTTCTTGTAAACTCTGAGACTATGAAGGTTTAACAACCTGCTTAGATGGAAAACAGTATGGAGTTTCCTTAAAAAATTAAATATGGAACTGCCATTCGACCTAGTGATCCCACTTGTAGAAATATATCCTAAGAAACCCAAAACACCAATCAGAAAGAATGTATGCACCCCTATGTTCATAGCAGCTCGATTCACAATAGCTAAGATCTAGAAACAGCCCTAGTGCCCATCAGTAGATGAGCGGATAAAAAAGCTGTGGTACATTTACACCATGGAATACTATGCAGCAGTATAAAAGGCTCTCTTCTCCTTTGAGGCAGCATGGAGGGACCTGGAGAGTATTAATGTCAAGCGAAATAGACCAGTCATAGAAAGACAAGTATCACATGATCTCATTCATATGTAGAATCTAATGAACAAACTAAACTGATGAACAAAATAGATCCAGAGGCAGAAACATGGAACAGATTATTCAATCTC